CTTTGCTTGGAACACTATTGGAACCGAATTCACTCCATACAATCTTTGAAGATCACCCACAGCATGCACACTGTTGCACATTGAATCTGGCTTTAATCAGACCAGACCTCAAGTCTTCTTCATTGTTTGCCACAAACTATTAAGCAGGACGCAGTAAAAAGAACTGTTTTCTATCATGTTCAGTTAGAGAGAATCTGAGTAAAAATGGTTTGACTTTGATTGAAGCGGGACAAACGGGAAAATGTCTCTGGGGTGTGATTACTTGTGAAAAAGCGAATGTTTCTTTGTTTGCTGCAGTTCAGAAGCCTGAGAAGCTCAGCTGGGTCAGCGTGGCGGCAGCGCTGCGTGATGGAGTGTGTGCTTACACCGCTCTGCACACACACGCTCGCATGGCAGCCGGACACACGCTCCTGGTCATGGACGGGGCCAGTGTATGTAGAAACACTAAAGGCTCTGGTTGGTAATGGGCTGTAGGGATTTATTAACGATCCAGTTTCTTCCCCTGAAGCCCTTCGGCCTCATGTGCATCCAGTTGGCTTGTTATCATGGATTGAAGGTTCTCGCCACCTCCCACTCTCCACAGCAGCAAACGTTCCTGGAGCAGCTTCGGCCCAGCGTAGGTTTGTACTCCTCAGTGCCTTGAAGGCCTCTCCTCATGTGCTGATTTCTGTGCCGCCTGCTGGATTTCCTCCTTCACTTTCTCCTGTCTGTCTTTCTTTCTTCTCTCCTCTCCTTCATGTTCTCCTCAGGCATTCAGGATCCTTTAGTAGGTGAGATCCTTTTCCTTTCAGACGTTACCATTAAATCTGAAAAGGTTAGAAACCAGTGAAACTGTTTTTAGTAACTGCAGAGTTTTTGCTACATGGGGTTGCGAGGGGTGCTGGTGCCTATCTCCAGCAGTCAATGGGCAAGAGGCAGTCGCCAGTCCATCGCAGGGCAACACAGACACACACACTCACACCTAAGGAGAATCTAGAGAACCCATGCATGCTCAGGGAGAATATGCAAACTCCATGCAGAAAGACCCTAGGCCGGGAATCAAACCCAGAACCTTCTTGCTGCAAGGCAGCAGTGCTACCCACTGCACCACTGAACAGCCTATTTCTATTATTTTTCTATTTATTTATTTACAATTGATTTAAATTCATTTTTTTTTCATATTTAGTAGAGAATTTTTTCATATCATACAATATGAAAAAGGAATTTAAATTAATTGATTTTATCTAAAACAAACACCACCAGCTCCAGTCTGTGTAGCTGTGGTAGCTGCAGAGCTCTGCTCTGGATGCTGAAGGAAATATGAAGACGACAATCCAGCGTTGCCAAGTTAGCGACGTTGTTGCTGTATATGGAGAAAAAAAAAGAAAAAAGAGAGAGACAAATGTAATTACTTTTTTTATTTGTTTTTGGTGAGTTTTGTTTTTTTGGTGCATGACTCATTTCTGCCACATGCAAAGGAAATATACATTTTACTAGGGCTGGGTACCGAACATCAGTTCCGACCGAAATGCTTCGGTTCTACCGAGTATCGAAACATGCCTCGTCTTTCGGTACCAAGTTTCGGTGATTGGCTGTAACACTTAACGTGATTGGGTCATCCAGGAAAAATACACAGGTGGTCCCGCCTACAGCCAGGGTTCATGTGTATCTGTTGTGAACTGGTTGTGAGCATCGCGGAACCCCTTTAAAATGCCCCC